TTCGGCATTAACATTTTAATAGCCATCATCCATCATAATCATGGTGAATTTCATTATCATTCATTACGTCATTATCATAATCATGTTCTTAATCATTATCGTCCCCTTCATAATCAACGACAATAACACTATCACATCTCTAAACAGACGAAAATGATTTAACTGGTGTCATTAAGAGTGGGTATGTCAAATGAATTTCTGTTAATAAGGTTTGTAAATCCGCTGTTTCCGGTGCCAAACCTGGGTAAAAAGGAGGATGACTGAGGATCGTGGCAACGTTTCCCGTTAAGCTCAATCACCAGCTCATCATGGTAATGCCTCCATCAAACATTATACTACGTCGGTCGCAGCCAGGGGTTGTTGAGGAACTGAAGCAGACTGCGAAAAGTTGGCGATCAGTCGATCCTTCTCGCCTTCAGAGAAGTGGGGCCGCGGCGATGCGGCGAAAAAGCTGATATTCCTGCAGAGTATATGATAAATTCTTCACGTCCTCACCAGTCATAGGCTGAAATTCTATTACTGGAAACGAAAAAAGGGAGCTATCGTTGGACGCAACATCAAAAGGAAGCCTGAACGAAGCTCGACTGATAACTCACACGGAAATTAAAGGAAGAAATAACAGATATCATGGACAAAGCTTAGTGAAGAAAAGCCCTTACTAGGACTCGGGTTAGAGACATTCACCTCTCTTCCTTCTGAGGCTGATAAATGAGAATCGCTCAGTGCGAAGCAAATACTGTCGACTCTGCCTTTAAAATCAGGCATTCCAGACTGGTGACATGGAAAGAGAGATCAAAGCCCAATCATTAACTTCATAAAATAAAGGATGCAAGAAATAGTCCCATCATGAAAGTGAAAAGAATACCAAAATTTAAGGGGTAAAAACTACCTCTAGTGTTATTCCACTATTAGGACTCGCCGCCGACATCATCACGAAAAATGAATGAAACAAAATCAGCAAATACATCACCTTATATTATGAAAAAAGCAACTAGGATGAATAGGAAAATTAACTCTCAGAAAAAACATACATTCAAATGAGTGGCAAGAACCTTCTGTCAAAATTCCTATTCACATTCTCTTTCCTTTTAAATGACTAAGCTGAAAAATCTTCCGTTGTTGTTGTCATTGTCAATTTGGGCATCAAAGTCACGGAAAGATTACCCAAAATAAAGATGTCTAACGCTTCGCCTACTCAGAATGACTTAAGCGATGCTGATTGTTCTGGCAAAGGTCATGTACTTCGTCGCAAGGAAGTCCGCCTCCGGAAGCTACTGTAGGGTGCAATGTTTGCATCTGATGGGCCAAATAAGAATGGTTTTCGATAAGCTGCCATCCTCTCTCCAGAGGGTTTAGTCAAACTATGAGAGACTTCAATACCAGATTTTTTTTCCGGCAGCAGCCTCTGGCCGGACATTTTCGAGATCATTTCATTCTTTTCTGCATGGAACCATCGCACTATGCTCCATGTAGACGGCGCTGCTGAAAAGCGCCCAAATCTGTTAATGGAGCTTTAAAAGGGTCAATGTTTCCAGGCTATACATCAAAACCGAGAAGATGGCAGCTTTAGTATGGTGATCTTTGTTGCTGTTCGGATAGATCGGTCCTGCCAAACTTTATAAAGTAGCCCGAAGTTCGCAGATAACAGCCCTATGCGCCGCTCTACTTCCAAATCGTAAGTCCATCTCCTACACTAGAGAGCCAAGGTTTCGATATCCTCAATCATCGTTCCACTCCATTGAATCCTTGACTTGTTAGTCGAGTAAGTTGCTCGCAAGATTTGCTTTGGTGAGGTTGACTCCTAGGCCTACCGTTCAGGTTATCATGCACACTTCTCGAGCTAGTGCCAGTATGTCACTGGCAGAGACGTTCAGCAGTACAACGTCGTCAGCATACTTGAGATCTGTTACGATTACTGTTGGGTACCTTCAGGCGAGTCTTCCTCTGATAGTAAATCCCTCACTGTAGTTGGGAACGCCACTCTTCCGCATTACACAATCCACCACTATGCTGAATAAGAGAGGTGAAAGCTCCTCTCCTTGGTGCGTTTCACTGTCAACGCTAAAACTATTCGACAAACGTTCTCCTTGTCTGATGGCGCCTCTAATACTTTCGAACAGGCCGTTCATCAGACAAATGATCTTCCGCGTTACTCCATGTTGTCGCAGTATGCGCCACAAGGAATGACAGTGTACATAGTCGAAAGCTGCTAGGAAGTCGAAAAATGCTTATACCAGGTGATTTGTAAATTCATTACCTGTTCGAATATCTTCTTCAGTACGGCGATGTAACTCCGCTTTTGCCAGTCCCAAGTCCTGATGAAAAACATGAAGGGTTAGAGATCATGACGAAGTCTCCATAAAACTTAGCCACTTGACCCACACAGTAATGCTGTCATCGAACATTATAACGGCTCAGCCGTCAACCAGGTTACAGAGCGACGCTCAGGCTGTGAAAACTCGACGCTCACAACCTCCTCATCACCTTCTGGCAGCCGAGGGCGTAGAAGCACAACAACGGCTAGCAAAGATCGACGAAACGACGATGAATATATCAATCAGCAACGGAGTCGCTACCGCTTCGCAACGGAAGAGGCAGATAGTGCGATGCCATTATCGCACATCAGAAAAGACTACACGGGAAAGACATCACCAGCGGGAGGTTCATCTTCATCTTCCATCGCCGCTTCTCCTTTCGGGTCGCGAAGGCAGACGCGTCAGACAGTGCTTCCA